TCTCTCTCTCTGTCTGTCTCTCTTTTTTTGTCTCTGTCTGTCTCTCTGTGTCTGTCTCTCTTTTTTTGTCGCTGTCTGTCTCTCTCTCTCTCTCTGTCTCTCTTTTTTTGTCGCTGTCTCTCTTTTTTTGTCGCTGTCTGTCTGTCTCTCTCTCTCTGTCTCTCTTTTTTTGTCTCTGTCTGTCTCTCTGTCTCTCTCTTTTTTTGTCTCTGTCTGTCTCTCTCTCTCTGTGTCTGTCTCTCTTTTTTTGTTGCTGTCTGTCTCTCTCTCTCTCTGTGTCTGTCTCTCTTTTTTTGTCTGTCTCTGTCTCTATCTTAGCTGAGCATGATCTTTAATGGTTGTCTTTTCTGCTGTTGTCTAAAAATGTTCAGCTGTCTTTCCACTGATTGACTCTTCACATGGTCACCGCACTTAAAGAGCTCCAGCTTTAACCTCCTCGTCCAGCTTTTTATTCTTTGCAGGCGGCAGTCTTTGCACATTTAATGAGACCGTCGTGTCCGTCCACTTAACCTGATCTATTCAGAACGGTTGTGGACTCTTTTGCAGAGGAAAGGTTTTTCTGAAATGCAAAGTTTTGCCATTTCTTTCTGTCTAAGTGGCTGAGGGCTGCAATGTAATGCTTTGTGTGAAGCGTTAAATAAATGTCACGCTGCCCTCCTGATGGAGTGAGTCCATGTTGTGATCATTTAAAACCTGCAGCTATATGTAACTGTACAAAATCCAATAGTGGTTAGTGCCGAAATTACTTCAAATGATTATTTCCCTCCAAATGTTCAGTGTGACTGTTTGACTCTCTCTAAGTGGATGTCTATAATGTGATTTTAATCCGTGTTGCAGACTCCTATTGTCCAGTTTAACACAAGCTGTTCGTGGTAATAAGTTAAAAGTGGAATAACTGAGATCACAGTGTTGTTATATGTTGCTTCCTTTGTGTGGAAACATTGATGTTTTGGTTCTGACTGATCTGAAAACTGCTTAAACGTCTTAAATTGCCAAATCACTTCAAGTGTTAAAGTGATTGTGAGAAGGAGGTACGAGTTCTTGAGACAAAACGTGTTGTTTGAAGCAAATTTAACGCGTGTTCGTCAGCAGGAAAACCATTTTGGAAAGTTTAAGTAAACACAAAATACACTGTACACTGACTGTCAAAATACACTGCAGTGTGCCTGATAATCATGTAACGATTGAGTTCCTCCTCATCTTGGGTTGGTTGGGATGCCTCCTCCTCCTGCTCTGTATTTACAACCTGGATTCAAGAAACACCTCGACAATCATACTGTCAGTTGAAACGGTGTTCCCAAATCTCTACCGGTGGACACATTTGATACCGTTGCGCGGTGCACAACCCTGACCCTCGTTGTTTTGTCCGATATTGCAAAGTCGTGACTCGTGGGGCATGGGAGCTCCTCGGTTCAACTGAACATGTGGAAGCAGAGCCCATGTGGCCCGGAGAGGAACCCCCTGCTAGCTTTGGGGGTTACCATGTGTAGAGTGAGAAGAGACACAAACTGTAACAGCCCCCCAGGAGCAGCTGTATAAAGAGCCGGCAGTTAAAAGAGCAACTTGTCTAAAGTGCTCCTCAGCAGGGGAGTCGCGAACAGATCTGGCCTCTTGGCCCTCGCCGTTTCACAGCCTCGATATCTTCAGCGGTTGTTCCCTCTGCTGTGTTTTCACCATGAGGCCAGTGTGCCGATAACAAAGACTGTAAACATTTGCTTTTTGCAGCAACTCACGTGCACTGTTGTCTGAGGAATACAATGAGGTCTGCACAAAGCCCCCCCTAGCCCGCTGGAGGATGTGCTTATTATATGAACATTGCAGGTTGAGATGGTAGTACACAGGCTTGTGTAGTACTTGGATCTTTTATAAAATGTTACTCAAACAGGAGGAAATGGTGTTTCTGGACTCTCTTGCTCTTACATATAAGAACACAAAACCTACTCCATGACTAGTCCTTCATACATCTCTTTTTTTTTTTTTGCAGGATTGTTGGTGGATTTGAGGCCCTCACCGCCATGGAGAACGTGGAGAGTGATCCCAAATCAGACAAACCAAAGGTAGGAAGTAGTCATGTTTAAGGTCCAGATGTTACTCACAAATGTTTGAGTGTAGAAATATCTCTTCACAGGTTTTTTTTAATGGGTCAAATTATCTCATTTTACTATCTTGAAATGTAGTGTTTAACCCGTGTTCAGAGTAGATTACAGACTGTAGGTCCAGTTTAAGTTCACGAGAGATCTCCAAACTCACTCGTTAAAAGCAGAAGCAGCCATTCTGACTTTTACATGCGTCATCCCGTCTAGTGTTGTGTCATTATTCTAAATTTCAAATAAGCTCTTTAATTGCATTTTATACATCTTTTAAGTATTTTTCCGAAGAACTCCAAGTAAATATTTGTCAAAGTGCCCTTAATTAAAGTCCACTTTCCCCTTGTGTTTTCGTATTAATTATGTCTTCCAAAGCTTTGTGCGTCTCTGACCAGAGACGTCTTATTAATGGACATTTCAGTGATTGGCATCTTTGCTCCCACACAGCCTCAGCACTTTGAATCATCTCCTTTTATAAAGTGTGCTTTCTGCTTTTGTGTAATAAAATAAAGAAAAAGCAATTAGACACTTCCATCCAGATTCTCTCAGCACTGGTTCGTCCCCATCTGACGGGTCATTTTTTTAAACAACTTGCTCAAAATAGTGACGCCATTGTAGATATTTATTAGCTGTTGTTTAGCCTATAAGATACTGTAAGATATTCTATTGAGCTTCCTTTTAGCGAAATGCTCTGAGAGACTTTGTGTTCCCTCTGGTTAACAGTTACACCGTGTATATGTGTTGGGCTTTTATTGTGAAAGGTAAGAGCAGAAGGCGTGGCTGTGGTCTGCGCTGCCTTTGTCAAGGTTGAAAGCAGTATTTTTATTTCTATTTTTATTTCTTTGGGAGAAATAAAATTTGCGTCTTGGCTCGGACTCTGGAGCCTCGGTGTTGTTGTACACTATCGTGTACATTTTGAATCGCACCGTTCCTGACTACGTGATTGGTTGACGCCTTTATTCAGTCAGAAAAATCCACGTCCTTGAAAAAAAGTTGCATTTTCACCGTGTAATATTCACATACTATGGTAAAGTACTTGAGACAAAAACAGTTTGTAAAGCCTTTAATGCCGAGTTTTATCCCAAAAATGACTATTCAACCTGTAAGCTAGATTTATTTTGTTGTTTTATGTGGTAGATGTTTCAGAGACTCGTATCTTTATTACAGATCATTTAATGGTAACCAGCATGAGGGGAAATGATGGATTTAATTTGAGTGGTTTGTCTGTTTTTCAGTCGGAGATCAAGATCATAACTGCGACTGTGTTCGTGGATCCGTACGAAGAAGCTGACGCTCAGGTTAGCATCGCTCTGTGTGTTTGCATACATGTACAATACATGACTTTAAGACATAAGCATTTCTTCCACACAGAAAAGCTTGGTGATTATTATTTACATATGACTGTGTGTACATGCATCCTTCTGCACAGTGAAGGCCAAACATCCAAGTACAGTAATAATACAAATGGATAAATATCCTCCACTATAAGGAAATATATCCTTCTAGACTTATTGACTTATGACTTATGATCACCTGGAGCTTGTTGTCCCACCTGCATTTTGATCCACTCGGTCATTGCAGAGTGTCAGTGGCCCTCTGATCTGGCCTGTAGTTTATTTTGGGGGATTTATTTGATTTGTGTTTTTCAGATTGCAGCGGAGCGAGAAACGGAGCTGCAGAAGCAGCAGCAGGAGGAGGAGAAGCAGCAGACCAGCATCGCCCAGCAGAAGGCTAAGGAGAAGCAGGCGCCAAAGACCTTCAAAGCCGGTGTGGGGAAATACATCAACCCTGCCACGAAGTAAGGACACGCACACATACATACATACACACACATACATGTGCATGCATACTGATTTACTCTGCTTCTGCTGGAGTGGTCACGCTGTGGCGTGTGTTAAAGGCAAAAGCACAAAACAGAAGAACCTTTATTCCACTTTCCAGGCAGAGTTTGGATGAAACGGGTAACCTGGCCTCCACGTAAGCGTCTTGAGGAACAGGATCGTAATGAATGGACGATAAAACATGATTATATGGCGACACAGAACAAGCAGAAACATAATGTGCAACGTTTCCAATTATGTAGGAGATTACCCATCTCCCCCAGAGGGATAATTCAGCTTTATTGTCTCCACCGTTTCCACTGAGTTCAGGTATATTGTGTTGTTTTTACGTGTTATTACAACACAATTCATTTTTGTTTCGTTTTTTTAAGTTTTGTAACTATTGTTTTGGGCATTGTTGGCATAATATTCAAGTTTGCTGTTAGCTCAGTGAAATATGATAAAGAGAATGAAACATTAAAACCTTCTCTTTGCCCCATTAAATCCCTCAAAGGGATTCATTAACTTATTTATATGTAGAGTCGCTTCAGAGAAGATAAATAAAGAAGTTGCATCGAAGGCGCTTTGCACAAACCTTGTAGCATGTGTGTGTGAATGTTGAAATGACTCATTATGCGAAATGAAGGCGCATTAGCTGAACTAAAAATGTTTTACTTTGGCTGAAGTGTGCTTGAAGAGGTAATTATGCTCTTGATTTTCATCTTCTCCTCCTGTCATCATGTTCACATATTTAGGGTCATGCGCAGCACGTCAGTATCAATGCTCCCAAAACACAGTCCATCTGACAGCTGATTGTAAAAGTGGCATGTAGGGTGTTTCAGCAGTCGTCAATGGTCTTTTTTAGGCTATTGTCTGTGTGAAAATACTCTGTTCATCTGTGCATTTAATGTGGCAAATCTTTCAGAGTTCAGTCCCGTTGATTTAGAATTTGTGAACAGGCTGAAAATAAGAGTTTAGCAGTCTGGAGGCTTTTTGTTGATGCATGAGCTTCAGCTTTTCAGAATTGTGCATAATTACATTTGTTTGTGTGTTTACAATTAAGAAAAACTCCCGGTAATGTCGCCACAGACACCCAGTTTGTAATACTGCAAATATATAAATATTGCAATACTTTCATCAGGTAATTCAATCTCCATTGTGTTGCCTCCTCCAGCAACAGACAGTGCCTCAACAGTAATTCATTGAAATGAAAATCTTCAACATAAGATGGTCCGTATTTATCCCGACTCATTGCGCAGTAGTCGCAGCACGAAGTAGGCAGAGTGCAAACATTCAATAAGAGATGATCAATAAGGTGACAAACCAAACGTACACAGTAGCAGCAATATAAACGGGTTAGCGGTAAGGACCGTAGACGGGGATGAGAAGTGTCATTTAGCTTGTTTGTATTTGCAGGATGGTTCTGATCAATAGAGACATACTGGAGGGAATGACAAACATAACATAACAGCAGGGTAATCAATAATGATTCATGCGTTTGTATCTGAAGGTGCAGCCTGTTTTCAAATAGTGTCTGTCTCTGAAGAATAACTCAGAAAGGCCCGTAGTCTGTGTTTTACAAAAGGCATAAACAACATCATTTACAGAGAGAGAAGAGATTCATGTGAGGTAAATCTCAGATCAGAGAAACCCGTAATCTACAAGAAGAACACGTCTGTGGGAGAACAGCTGCTCATTGTGATGTTCTGTTCCTCTACCTTTTATAGAAAACGTTCGGCCGTTGAAGACGAAAGCGGGCCGTCCACCAGCGGAGCGGCGCCGTCCACCAGCGGAGCCAAGAAGTCCAAAGCCAAGAGCAGCTTCGGGGACTTCAGCTCCTGGTAGCGCCGACGCGTTCCGCATTTACCAGTCTGTGTGTTCACTGGTCGGGTTGAGCGTGAGCAAAATTAATTTCATTCATACATGTGTGTGTATCGTCTCTTTGTAGTGTTGATTAACGATTAAAGTTACTTTTTACAGAAGAGAAAAATGGCGTCATATTCTCATCTTGTTTCAAAGACACGGTTTGTTTATTTAAGGACATTCCATTGAGAGCTGAAGATATCGGCACTTATTAAGCAGAGACTCTGTGTGATTAATCTCGTCTTCGTCATCCTAGACGAGGTCTGATCAATATTTGGGGCTAAAACCATCTGATCGATATCTCTTTGTCCTGGACGGTCTAATCAGTATTTGTGGACGTAATTAACTCCCGACACCAGACCGTGTTCATTTTCTGCTGAAGAATTGACGACACGCAGACGTTTCTACTTTGGCTCGACTCCCGGCTGGTTTTAATGGATTTGCTGGACACGTTTCCACAATCGTTCATCACGGATCTCTGCAGAAAGAGTTATTGTTATTGTATCAAAGTCAAGTGCATCCGGAGCTCGGTCACTTTGTTAAATCCTCTCTGGTGGTCTGATTATTTTAGGACCTAACAAAAACACAAAAACAGTTTGATTTTTACTTTAAACTATTGTGCTTCCACAAATCCCTTTTGTCTAAAATGACAAAATAAAAGGCGTTTTCTTAAATGTCTTCACTCTCATTCATCACTGAGTTTAACTAATTGTGACAAAATTACCTGAAAGTGCTTTTGTTTCAAAGAAGAAAGGAAGAAATGGCACTATTGTTGTTTACTGTGGCATGCAATCTCGGGTGTTATTGTTGCGCGGGACTGTTCTCCTGTGTTCTACAGCCATTTACATATTTATGGTCATGTCTGTATTGAATTGGCATCGTGGCATTTAAAAGAAATCTGTTTTTGTTTGCCAGAAGTTAATTTCAAAGTGTTAAACTGCCATTCTTTTTGCAACTTAGACAAAAAATAAATAAAACTGCAGGTATTTACACAAAGCTGGGCTCCAGAAAATGTTCACTTAGTAAACTAAAAGACAGAAAAATCTGAAAAAATTAAATAAAATCTGAGTTTCTTTCGGAATATATTGAACCTTCGAGGTCCTCACGAGTGTAGTTTGAAGTTATTCTCACAACGTTCCATCTAGACTGAAATACCTGAATTACTGGAAAATAACCAGCGAAGACATTTCTAACTCATCTTATTTCAGTTAGCAAACAACCGTTTACAGTCACTGAGTCTCAGCCGGTTTAATGTGTTCACTCCACTCGTCCTCTTAGTGCTCACCTCCACTGTGTCGACACAGTTCAAATGTAGTTCAGTCAGACACGTTTCTGTTTCTGCGAAATAGCAGTTTGACTGAAAATCTACAAGTGAAGTCACCTGACAAAATAGACAAAATAAACATATGTAATAAAAACAACTCTACTGTGTGATCGGCTACATGATGATGACTCCAGTTACAGCTTGGTACGAATGGGCTCCTTCCGCCACACATCTCTGTGATGGGTTTATACATAAAACAATATTTTGTAGCCCTGTCTTAGATGTACTTCATTACAAATGTGTTTGCTGACAAGACGGAGACGTGAATGGTGAACATTTGGGATTTGACATTTCTCATTCAAGGCGAACATGCTTTTTTTTTTTTCATCCGTTTGCCATGTGGAGCAGAAGTCCTCTTCCTAGATTGGCCTCCGCTGTCAAACCCCAATGGGTGGTTTGCTTGCAGAGTGCTTTTTAAAAAGTGTTCATGTTTTACCAGCAACTACAGCACTAGATATGTTTATTTGGTCCCTTTTTTTTCCCATTGGATAACTATTGGAAGTGCACACTGAGCTGTGTTTGCCATGTGGAGTAAAAATAACATCTCAAATACACATGAAGTACATTTTCCAAACCACCTTTTTCCTGGAGAGCACATCTCTCTTCTATACACTAAAGATGTTCGGCCTTAATAGCAGCAAATGTAAAAGCTTTCATGGTCTGAGACGGGCCACGTAATTGCATGAAGCTGTGTGGGATCATCCCTTCTTCGGATCCGGGTGAAACGGTGGCATCTGTGATGGCACCCTTGTGCCGCATAACACATAATTTATTGGATGCTTGGTTAATGCCGCTCCACTCGAGCCTCATTATTTAGCCGTGCTCTTTGGCAGCCGTTCCCAAGCTTTGGGCTTTTACCTGAATGAGTGTACCCTTGTGCGTCCTCCGTGTCCTGCCCCCCACCTGAGTGAGAGGAAGCTTTGTAAATTCGGGAGGTGGGAAGTGAAGTCGTGCCCTCCAAAACTCAAGTTCAAAAACCTACACGATTATTATCCTTTGTCACATCATGGAGTGCTAAAACCGACTGCAGTGTCATTCGTTTCCCCAGCTGTGGAGTCAGCACAGCGGCGTGAAATGAATTCAGCAGACTGTAAGTCAATCATTGAATGAATCATCGAGGTCTGTGCTTCTTACAAGCATCAGATGGTGACTTGAGACGGGGGAGTGACAATTAAACAGTAACTTTAGACAGTAATGCCCTCACATGGCCGTTATAGTAATGTCATTTAGTTGTTGTTTTTGTTTTTATTTAGTGTTTTAAAGTTTTGTGCCAACTTGTATCTTGTTAGACTTTTATTAATAGGTGTTGTTTTAATCTATTTTATTTAGAGGTTTAGATAAAGTCTTTAATCGTGTGCATTATGTTAAGTGTTTTTTATTTAGCCATTTATTTTATTTAGCGCAATACTTTATCAAAACCTCTAACTTTTAATCTTGAGTTGGACTGCATTATATTAAGTGTTTTTTATTTATTCATTTATTTTATTTAGAGGTTTTGATGAAGTATTGCGCTAACTTTTAATCTTGTATTAGACTGCATTATGGTTAATAGGTGTCTTTTATTTATTTATTTTTTTGCTTTCCCCCCTTTCCTTTCCAAATTTCTTCCATCGTGGCAGTGGGTCAACTACTCAAAGGTGAGATTAATTAATTTAATTTAACCTTTTAATAGCCAGAATATTCCACGTGACATTTTGAATCTCATTTCCAAGAAAGTCCTGGCTTAAATGGCAGCGTAACAAATTCACATAAAAACACATAAAATAGACAAAACAAGTTTTAAAAACAATTCACATGAAAGAGACAACAGACTTAAAACAAACAGCAAATGGCATCAACTAAAGAATTCAGTGACATTTCAATGTTCAAGTAATCCACTTAACCCTTAAACGATTTAATTAAAATATATAAAACTTCCGTTGAGAGCAGAGTTAGTTGATGACGAAAAACACAGAAAAATAAATGAATGTGCAGAAGAAGTTGTTTTCCTGAAGCTTTCTACCACATCACAGCCTTTCTCCCTTTGCTCTCCATCCAACTCCAAATACAACTCTGGATGTGGCTACTCGTGCATGTTACTACTTTTACGACCTAATGGTTTTTAAAAAAGGGCTATTCAAATTTTTGTCCTAGGAATTTGATTTACCTCAACAACAAAAAAATCCGCTGATTTACAGTCTATTTCCCGATGTAAGTCTATGGGGGGGGGGGGAAGTATTTTTGGGCCAAATGGCGTCACGTGATCCGGAAGTTGTAATTCCATGCTTTGGCCACTATATCTAAAACTAGCTTTAAGCCCAGCACTCTAGTAATTTTTGGACTATTTGCCTTTTATTGGATAGAACAGTCAAAGAGAGACAGAAGAAGGGACGATATGCAGCAATGGGGTTGGATTTGAACCACTTGCACATTTTTTGTGGATCTTAAAAGACAAAAGTGTGATTTTCTTTTTTTTTTTTTTTTTTTTTTTTTTTTGATTTTTAAGGTGAATTTCTTCCTTATGAACTCGTACTGTGTTGCTGTTTGAGGTGCTGCCAGCTGCTGAACGTGTCCAGCAGGTTGCCAGAAGTGAGGAGTTATGAACCAGCATGTGGTGTTTTATCTCATCCGACACTGTGAGGAGTTGTACAGCACGGTGAACCCGATTTTTTTTTTTCTCGTCTAAGAGTAAAGCCTTGTATTACTGAGCCCGCATTTGCAGAAAAATGAAATGTTAGCATTTACTTTATTTCAACCTAGTTATTACATGAAACAAAAAGCAGCGCACATCATTTAACCGCTAAATCTGACAGTAAATTAAAGTAGGTTTGAAGGAAGTATTAAACTAATTTGCACAAACTGATTATTTGTAATATAAACTAAGGTGTTTATTGCACTCTATTTAAGCAGCCTGTTAGATCTTTCTGTCTTGTTCTGTGCTGCTTCATGGCTGCAATTTAAAGTCTGGACTCTTATGGTCATATCAGATTTCTGTGTATTTCCACAGATAGATGTTGTTGTTGTTGTGCTCTCTGTGCTGAGATAAGCTAACCGGCTATTGGCTGTTGCCTTCGAGAGTTGTATCAATCTTCTCATCTCTCATCGCAGAAAGCGAATAATCGTAACTCACCCAAAATGTCAAAATATTCCTACGTTGGGAGATATCCTGTTTTTTTTGTGGAACAGGAAGATAAGAAATTGCTTTGACCTCCAGGCAACTTCTAGTTTCTGTTGAGATAAGATAACTTGTATAGGCCGCATCACAATAAACACTCTTATTAGGTATCATGTTGTATGGAATCCTTGTAATCATTGGTCCTGTTTGGATCTAGTTTTATCTCGTATATAAAAAGCCCAAGACTAATAGAGGACACAGTCTTTAAAGTTATCACCCATACCTCTTCAGCAGTGTCATAAAAATTGAACAGAAATCGCTCAGCGTATACGTGCATAAAACTTTAACACAAGTCTGTACACATCATCATCATCATCATCATCATCTTCTATACCATCTCATTCTCACTTTTTTATTTCCTGGCCTCCTTTTGAAGTCGACCATAGAGAGAGAGAGAGAGAGAATGTTGTGTGGAGTTACTCAGCAGTCAGCTTCTTATCTGGTTCAGCAGCATCCTCCAGATGTATAGACATTCTAGGCATATCATTAACTTTTTTCTTTTTTTTGTATCTGCCATGATACTGCCATTTGATTTTGTTATCTCTTCATTCTAAATTTCCTAGCAGGATGTCAGTCATGCCTGTCCACCTCTTTGGTCCACACGGACATATCTCAACAATTATTGGATGGATTGCCATGATATTTGTTGCAGACTAATGATTCTCAGTGGAGGAATGCTACTGATGTGTCCCTCCCCCCCCAATCTTTCATCTAGCACCTCCATGAGGTTGACATTAGTGGTTTTGAGTGAAATGTCTTAATAACTACTGGATGGATTGCCTTGAAGTTTGGTAGAGACATG